TAATCTATGTTCTTTTAAATGTGCAAAGTTATGTGACTATATGGATTATAAAACATGTTTTGTTCAACACTGCAAAGTTGAAAATTCCGGAATACTTAATTGTGTTCATGTGGAAACTGTATATAGACAAAGAGGCAGTCATTCAAACGGAACAAGAGGATACTGCATGGTCTAAAACTTGAAAAGGTGTGTGTCAGGGTTGTATCTTTTCACCTTCTTTATTAAATCTGTGTAACAATCTCATACAGTATTTGTCCTTTTGTGATTGGCTAACTTCATTTAACTTGATGTCCTCCAAATTGATTCATGTCATGAAGTGTTTCACAGTTCATCATTATTCTTTAGCCATGTGTGACATTCTATTTTGTGTCCATATCAAAATATTATTTATTCATTCTTCCACTGATGGGCATTTAAGTTGTTTTCATCTTCTTACTATTGCGAATAGTACTGTGAGGCACATGAGTGTTTTTTCTATCTGTTTTATGCTACATCTCTTATTTCTTTAGGGTCTATACTGAGGAAAGGGATTTCCAGGTCATATGGAATTTCTATTCCCAGTTGTTTGAGGGAATTCCATACAGCTTTCCACAGTGGTTGTACACTTCACAGTCCCACCAATGGTGTTTGAGGTTGCCAACCTGTTCACACTCTCTTCAGCATTTCTTTCTGCTATTGTTGTTTTGTTTTGTTTCACTTTGCTATCAGTGCTGGTGGGAGTTGGTATCTCATTATTTTGAGTTGCATTTCTTGGACGCAGAGAGATCGCAAGCATTTGTTTATGTATTCATTGGCCACCTGGATATCTCCTTTGGGTATACTGATGGTCTTTTAAAAATTTGGTATAGTGGATTTTAATTTTGTGCTAGATATTATTAAAAACCTTCTGATGTACATCCTTCCATCCCCTGAGAAACCAAGGAATGTTCCTACCATGTAGCTATATCTATATAAGTATCACAACTATAAAATAATATATAATACCTAACATTCATTGAGTACATACTGTGTGTCGGATCTTATTCTAATGTTAGGGCAGAACCAGATTTGTGGGACCTATAAACAACTTTATTTTACAAATAAGGAAATTGAGGAAGAGAAATTTTTGTTGACTTTTGCTCAAGATTTCACTAGTACAGAGATTCAAACCCAGATAGACTGGGTCTACATTCCTCACTCAAAATCATAAAACTTTTGCTATTTCATTTATGAAATTGTGATACTTAGATTTATTGTGCCAACCTGGCTATTAGGAACATGTGGGATTAATCAGGTCACAGTTTGATTGGAGGGCAAAGGGATAAATGGCTCTGCAGGGCCTGCCCCCTCTCTCTTGCCCTCTGGTGCTTGGAGTGTGTTGGAGCTTGCTGCTGCTTTAGCTAGTTCTCTGCCTCAACCTATGGGCCAAGCCAACCCAGGAATCATGTTGCTGGAGCTTGAGGATACTTTGAGAACTGCTTCGCCACACTGCTGATGCATATATCACTTGAGCTTGATGCTGGTGGATCCTGTTGCTTTGCAGTGCTTGCGTTTGATATTCCATGTGGGCTTGCTTCCCTAAGCTCCGGAGCTACTGACTGTTGGTGACCCCACCCTGCTGTTTGCTGCCTATGGGCAGACTCGTGCCCGAGGGAGGAACCCACTGTCTGCTTCCTTGACTTTGGACCCTGCAGCCCACGTGAGTTGAAGGACTTCCAGTATATTAACTTCCACAGAAGTGAGTTGAAGTGAGACCTCTGTACTATTGTGTGGACTAATTCGCTGTTATATTCCTTCTTGCTGTATAAATCTATCCTCTTATGTATATATAATTATAAGTGTCCTGGTTTTGTTTTTCTAGAGAACCCCGCCTAACACAGAAATGAAATCATGAAGTTATATACAGGTGTGTTAGTCTGGGTACTTTAAAGAAACAAATCCACCGAAACTCATGTATAAGAGAGAATTTTATGTAAAGGGTAAGTGCGCATCTAGAAAACATCCCAACCTAGTGCTGCCCAAGCCCACAAGTCCAACATTAACCCATATGTCCAACACCAATCCACAAAGTCCTCCTCCATCTCACAAAACAGATGCAATGACGCCAACTGCAGGAGGAAAGCCGAGTCAGTGAATGTGTAAACATCTCAGTGCTGGCAGGGGTCTCCACCTGGCTACTCGAGCACCCATGGCTGCATCGGGGTAGGTCCATGTGGCTTCTCTTCAGGGATGTCTTGCAGGAAGTCAGCCTTGCAAGCTGAAGCAGGGAACTGCTAAGGCAGCTGCACCCTGGTGCCACCATCACAAAGCAAGAGACCCGAGAACTCGAAAGGTGAGGCTCACCAAGCCATTTGTCCTTCTGCCCTTCAATTAACCCCACATTTGTTTATCGGCCAGGCTGGCACAATAAACTAACTCACTCAACAGGGGAAGAGCCAAGTATTCTTTCTTGATCCATGGAAATACTTTTTTCCCCACTTCCATCAAATTGATGCTGGCTTACAGTAAGTAACCCTATAGTACTGGGTAAAATGACCCCTTTGAATTTCCAAGACTATAACTGTTTATGGGAGTAGAAAGCCCTGTCTTTCTCCCTTGGAGCGATTGGTGATTTCAAACTGCAACTTTGTGGATAGCAGCTCACCATGTAAGCCATTATGCCTCCAGGAAATAAGGTTTAAGAAGGAGGAATCAGAAAAAGGTATTCAATATAATTAGGAGACTCACATTCAAAGGAATTCATATGGTAGCTAACTCCCTGCCTGTAGGACACCCCCCACCCCACCCCCCGAACCTACAAACACCTGGAATATTCTGTTTTCAAATCCAGAACCTGAAATATAATCTAAAGAGTCAGTATTCCACAGTAAAAAAAAGGTTCTAGATGTCAGGTCATTTTTATTGCTAGTAACATCTTTCATTAGTTATATAAATTAAAGCTGGGTTTGTTAGAAAGGAACTTTATTTCACCATCCTAATTTCTCTAGTACTGCTCATGAGCCTAAATCTGCTAAGCACAAAAGCAGTGGGTTTTTATGATTGCTATTCTATTTCTTCCTATCAACGCTCTCTAATCTCTCTGGCCTACCTCTTTTTAACTTGACCACCATTACTTTAGTTCTTACAGTTTCTTGGCTAGATAGCTTTAACGTGGCTAGAAAGCTTAACTACCTTTCACTTCTAGGATTAAATATCTAAGTCCCTCACTTCACAAACACTGAATGTATGAGTGTTCACCAGGTACCAGGTACTGAGTTGGTCATGAGATGATAACGGAAAGTGGGTTTGGGGCTTGGAGGAGGGCACTTGAAGTATGAGATTCAGAACACTCTTCTACCTTCACCCACCCTGAGTAGGGTGTTGCAGCTGCTGCCAGGCATGCAAATGTGAACTGAGGCCCTTATGTGTACCAGGGATCCATGGCAAACTGGGAATGGTTCATTCCCACCCACAACAACCTCCCTAGAATGGCCTTATCGTTCAGAAAACTCCAATTCTCAACTCAATTAACTTCCTTAATAAGATGATTCCTGACCCTTGGAAGGGTAGCATAGTTATCCAGAAGAGGGAGGGACAGAATTTAGATTAAGGCAGTGACAATGGAAAAGAGGAGAACTAGGCTTGTAGAAAAGCAATTAGGTGGTGGGTTGGATTTGTGCAGGTGATTGAAGAAGCAGCCCAGCTGGAGACTGAGTGAAAGCTGATGTTTAATGCCTGTAAGGATGATCAGTGATGTCAGAAGAGGATTCAGGGAATACTGAGTTATGTTTCATGTCTGTGAGGTTTGAATTAGCTAGTAGATGACAGAATGACAGCGAGGTGAGGGGCAGATGACTGGAAAACAGGTACATTTCACATGAAGTTATGTGGGAGTCATTACCAGTGATTCTAGGTTGTGTGTGTGTGTGTGTGTGTGTGTGTGTGTGTTGGGATAGGGCTTGTGTATCAGGATTGCCTGGAGGGATTAAAAAATGACCTCATTATTTGATTTCTCCCCGTCCTTACCCTATCAAGCCCTGTTAAGAATCCTTGTCATAGACCAGCCAGACGAGGCAGGAGAGGAACATTTTCAGAACCCCCAAAATCACCAGGATAGAAGCAGGAGCTCAGTAAAGAAATTTGTGAATGAACCATCAGAGAGGTGGAAAAAGACTCAGAAGAGAAGAATGCCCCGAAAAGACCATTTCAAGAAGTCAATAGTGTTGAGTATTCTTCCCAGTCATTCAAACAGTGGTTAAAAAAATATGACACATCATTTCACCCCATTGACACATTATCACCATTCAGTTAAAATTTCTCACCTTAGGTATAAGTGTCCACTTTTAAATCTGTACCTTCCACCCTCCGGTCTTCTTCTAATTTACCTGTAACTACAGTGACTTCATGGCTGCGGAATCACACAGCCTGACTTTGACTTTTAACTCCTTCACTTATTAAAAGGTGCCAGGGACAAGTCCTGAGGAGCCGTGGTGGGGCTGTTTGGTAGGTGTTGGACTTCTAATCAGAAGGTCAGCTGTTCAAAAGCACCAGCAGCTTAGCAGGAAAAAGATGAGACTCTCTGTTTGCATGAAGATTACAGCCTCGGAAACCCTAGATAGGACTGTTACCAACTTGAGGGCAAGTGGTTTTGGGTTAGTGGGAGAGTTCTATTTCATCATGGCTTAGTTTTATGTATTTTTGGATAGGTACCAGTCTTGTAGTGTTGGATAAGTTTTGTTGGATAAGTAGTGTTGTAGTTTTGGATAAGTTTTGGATAAGCACCAGTCTTGTAGTGTTGTTATGCTGGTTCTGTGAGTTAATACAAAGAGTGTATCTAACGCAGAGTAAGTACGCTATGTGTTAAAACTAAGGCAGTGGTAGTAAAATGATGTCATACAACAAACAAACAAACCTGCTTTCCAGTTGATTTCAATTCATAAGGACTCCTCAAGACAGAGTGGAACTGCTCTATAGGAGGTTCCAAAGCTATAAATATGTTGGAAATGGACTAGCTCATCTTTCTCCCACAGAACGGCTGGTGGGTGCTTGCTTCAGCAACACATATACTAAAATTGGAAAAATGCAGAGAAGATTAGTTTGGCCCCTGTGCAAGGAAGACACACACATTAGTGAAGCGTTCCATATTTTTAAAAAGAAGAAGAATGGCTGGGAGAGTTGAACCGCCAAACTTCAGTTAGAAGCCCAGTGCTTAACCCACAGTGCTGCCAAGCCTCCTTCAATATTATCATAATTATCCTTAACATGGTTCATTTTATCTTTAGCATCCACTAAGGAAAGAAAGAATAAAGGCTATTCTAGAATAAAGAAAATGTGATTCTCTCCTTGAAAAAAAATCCCAGCATTGAGTTGACCATAGAAATAGCTAATTTCTTAAGTCCAAATGGATATTTCTAAACAAACAAAAATGAGTTATTTTTGTTACCTGATGGTGGAAAGGGCCAGAAACTTTGAGAAACACTGATCTAAATGGATCTCTCAATAGGGCCCCTTCCCCTTACCTGCATTGCTTAAGCAAATCTGTCTACTCATTCACATTCACTTTTCTTCCTGACAGCATCCTCACTGAAAAGGGCTTTGTAATGGGCCATCCACCTAAGCTCCAACCTAAACAGTGTTTCTCCTCCTTGTCTCCAAGTTAGAATTATCTTAAGCAGTGGTTCTCAACCTTCTTAACGCCGCTACCCTTTAATACAGCTTCTCATGTGGTGGTGACTCCAACCATAAAATTATTTTTGTTGATACTTCATAACTAATTTTGCTACTGTTTTGAATTGGGCGACCCCTATGAAAGGGTTTGACCCCTAAAGGGATTGCGACCCACAGGTTGAGAACCGGTGATCTAAAGAGTTTTAAAAATGACTATGTAGTGCCTCAGAAAAATTAAATCATTATCTCTGGGGATAGGACTAGATCAGTGATATTTTAAAAACGTAGACCATTGCTCAAAGTGAGGTTATTAATTCTTGAAGATTCTCTTGGATTTATCTAGATGGTCAATCCCATGTGAGCTCTTAGTGCAAATTGTATTGTGTTTCACTGAGTACAAATGTTGCTTATGGGGGAAAACCAAAACAACATATCAGTCATATTTTTTTCACTGAGGGCAGAACACTTTTCTTGCCACACTGGCCCATGCAGATAGTGTTGTACATCTATGAGGTCCTCTCCATATGCCTGCTGACAATTACACCCAAAGAGTCAAGTATAAAACATCTTGTTGCACATGCAGCAATATGCTTGGACTAATGCCACACCAGAATGTTCACAAAGAGACCTCATAAGATGAAATGTCACCACCACAACATGTGTCTGACTCCATGACATGCCCTGGTGTTACATTAACCAAATTCCTTTTTGTTGCTTCATTCACAGAAACCCACAAAGCCTCTGAGGTTAGTCTGCATGCTCTCTTTTGAGTTGAAGGCTTTCAACTTAGACAAAAATTAAAAGTGTAACGCATGTACATAAAAGTAGACAAATTACAAGTATCCAGCTTGGTGGGTGTATTACTCAAAGCATATCAACTTGTGTAGCCATTACCTGGTCGAGATAAAACATTCTCACCAGTCCCTCTTTTTCCTTCTTCTAATTGTTTCCTTCTTCCTCCTTCCCAAAGGTAGGGCATTTAACTTTGACTTTTTGTTTTTAATGGTCAGAGCCTCTCTAACTTCTTTTCCAATGAAGTATAGTTTGCTTGCCCATTAGGAGAGCCCTTTTAACAATCTGGCCAAAGCCAGCAGCTTCTTTTCTCTGTTTATTTTCCCCATCTGTTTAGAATTCACATCCACATTGGGTTGTTGCCTCATCTAATCAAGCAAGGGAATGTCTCAAGACTGTGTGCTCCATAAACTACTTAATTTTCTGAAATACTCACTGCCAGGGGCTTAATGAGAAACCACCAAATCTTCTTTGGCTCTAAGTCCCTCTAAGGGCCCATATTTCTCAAAGAGCCTGCAGTGCACATGGGCTCTTACAAATTAAAGCAAAAAAGAATGTGCCTTGACTTTTGCCTAGGTCAGAGTTCCATCATGTTTGAAGTTTTTGTAAGGCGTTTTATTCTTTTTCTTTATATCTATACATTCAGAATCTTAACATGTTTCTTATGTTTGGTATAAGTAGAAATGCTACAAACAATTGGAAGATAGATTCTTTTCAACTCCTACCTTCAAGGATGTACTTCTATGTAATGGTATATGCCTCTGGATGCACACTGATCATTGAGTTCTCTTATTGAAGACATCCTAGCACACAGTGAATCTGGGGTTCCTTGAGGAAAGGACTTAGCTTTATTTCTATTCTTTGTCACTTTCATAGGATCCTATATACACTAAGTGGAATATCCTGGCTTAAAAAAATAGGCTTTAAAAAAATGTTAGCTAATATTGGTGATATAAGTTGAGAAAAATTACTAAAGTAATTAAAAAATAATAATTTTTAAGTGAGTTTGGGGACTTGAATTCAGGCAAGAAGTAAATATAAATCCTAAATTATATTTATAAAAATCTTAATGAAGCCCTATAATAAAATTAGAAATGTTTCCAAATCTATTTTGTGGCCTATAGGCTCACTATGTAGGAGCCTTGGTGGCACAGTGGTTAAGCTTTGAGCTGACAAATGAATGCTCACAGCTCGAACCCCGAAACCACTCCATGGAAGAAAGATGTAGCAGTCTGCTTTCATAGAGTTTTGCTACCTTAAAAATGCTATGGGGCCATTCTGTGCTGTCCTACTGGTTTGATATGAGTCAAAATCAACTCAAGCGCAGTGGGTTAGTGTTTTGGGAATTTAAGCACACTACAAGGTCCCTAGGTGCACCAAAGATTTTGTGCTGGAATATGAGCTTAAAGGTTGACTGTCTGAACCCACACAGTGGTGCCACAGAAGAAAGGCCTGGTGATTATTTTCCATGAAAAGCACAGACAAGAAAACTCTATTGACAAGTAACACAGAGGGCTTCGAAGAGTTAGAATCAACTCAAGTCGCCAGCACCTTACACAATACTGGACTATTTTGGGCATGTTTATTTAAAAGTTATTTAATGCAGTGTTTTTTATCTCACTCAGAGAATGGAGGACTTGGGAACATCACCCTACGAGTAAATCATAGCTTTACTCGGCCCAGGAGCAATCCATCTGACATCTCGAGGGTTTATTGTGGTTGTTCGGAAAGTGGAGTACTGCTGGTGTCAAGTATAAAATAGTTGCTCAGGGGCAATGCTGAAAGGGACACTGGGTGAGTCTGAGGCATTTCTGAATGTGGAACATCATGTTTCCCATTTTCTCACCCCAACTGGGTCATTAGCCAGAGAAATGGAACAGCACAAGATACCTCCTGCCAACAGAAAGGTCAGGATGATAGCACCCCCACATGGGATGCAGGCCGACCGACCACTGTGCATGATAAAGAAACCCTGATTAACTTTCTCTAGGTTGTAAATTCAAGGGATTAATATTTCTGAGGGCGAGGAGTATAGTTGCTGTCACATGAGTGTTATGAAATTAGTGTTGGGGGAGTGGCTGAGAATTTCTTTAACGAGAAGCCGTGGTTGTAGCTGTGGTTATATAGTCCATACCATGCTGCCTTTCTAGACCAGCGTGTGTAACGAAACTTTCTGTGTTGGTGGAAATGTTCGCTCTCAGTGTGGTCTAATATTCCAGGGGACTACACTAAGTCGGTGAAAAATTGGACAATGGAAAATTTCCACGAACCTTGTGAAACCCCCTTCTGTTGACTTCTGAGGTCCTGTACCCTAGAATCACATTTCCAGTGCTGTCTAAATGTTAACCAACATTTGTTTTCTCTCATTCCTTCTATTTTTAATAGCCCCTCTTCTTCATGACAACCTAATATGATCTTTACTCAATTCAACACATGCCATCCTTACCAAAAACTTGGGAAAGAAATGATATTGGTTTAGATCCACTTCCTCTTCCTGACCAGATTTCAGTTCTGAGGTTGCATTAGCTGAGACAAGATGATTGGATACTCCAGCCAGCTGGAGAGCTGGTCTTTGTGGGCTTGAAACCTTAATTTGCATTTGATCCATGAAGGTGTTGGACTTCAGGTTCATACGTACAGGTCTAAGTAAAAAGAGCAATTTGAGACCCCTTCTGAACTTGGTATCAAGAGTTAATAATTGCCACACTCTCTTTCATCATTAAGGGAAGAAAAGGTAGAAGAAAAACAAAAATCAAAACAAAACCAAAAAACCACTAGCAAGAGTATTAAGCAAACAAGTCAAAGGTAAAGATGGTTATAGAGGAGGTCCAAACTGAGAGGGTGCTAGAAATGCATTGCACAGTATTAACGCTGAAGTCAAAGACACTTGTAAAAGCCACAGATAATGGTAGGTATCCATGTGGGTAGCCATTCTCGCTCTATACAGGCAGCTTGGTAAGTGGGCATTTTAGGTCTTGGGAGGTACATGTTCCAGTGTTAGAATCCAGGCACTGCTGCAACATGATGGTGTGACCTCACTTCAGCCCTTTGACCCTGTTTTCTCACTTTCAAGAGAGGAGAAATGCCCACCTTGCAAAGTTAAGTAGGTGTGTTAGACTGGTTAGACTAGGGCAATAAGTCCAGAGATACTCATATGGATATGAGAGAGCTTTATATCAAAGAGTAATTGTATATTAAGAAAATAACCTAGCCCAGCCCAGACCAAGTCCATAAGTCTGATATTAACCATATGTCCAGTACCAGTCTAGAAATTCCTCTTCAGACTCATGCAACACATACAATAATGGTGAATGAAGAACCATCATAGGCCAGTGGGTGGAAAGTCTTGTGGATCCAGTGGTGGTGGAAGCATCTCAGCGCTGGTGTAGGTTTCCATGTGGCTCCTCCAGTTCCAGGGCTCTGGCTGGATCAGCGTGGCTCCATGTGTCTGGTAAGCAGAAAGATGAAACAGAGAATGTGTCTGTGCCTTGCTTCCAGGGAGGAAGACAGGAGTTCCCAGAATCCTCGGGAGAAGACCATGCCCACATACAGGCATTATTGGCTATGATCTGATTGACAGGCTAGACTCCACCCCTTCACTCAAGGTGACAGGAGATTATGTAACTGCCACAGTAGTTAGTGTTCATAATGTGCTTGGTTGACACTCCATGAACAGCTGTTGTTATTATG